AGACTTTATACCTCCTGGAGGATGAGATAGATGAATAGACCCTGGATCCACAAGCTCCGACTAATTCAATGATCCTCCACCAAGATTATTCTTATTCAAGATGAACCAAAACACACTAAAATCACTCAAAAATAAAGATCTACACCAATAGAAGCTAGGGTTTTGTGAGGTGTCGTCAAGGGAATGAGGGATAATGAGGGGGCAGTCTCATGTTCTGTAATGATGCTTAAATAGGGTCCAACCCCTAAAAATTAAGGTTTTCCCCTAACTTGAGTACGCCTAGCGTACCATATGTATGCCCATCGTACTAAGGGAAAACCCTGTGTCCAAGGTTCGGCAAGGTACGCCGTGTGTGCCTTGATTATGCCCGTCTTAGGGGCCTAAATTGAAAACTTTGTATATTTTAAGCCAAAAAAAGAATTGTACCTGGAATGGATGTTACTAACCACAAGGTAATAAAGTTCATGCAGTTATAATGATCATCTACTATACAAAACTCATATGAAGGCAATCAAAGACTAGAACTAAAACATGTAAGGTTTTGATTCATCAACACTAGAACAACCAACAATATTAAATCATAAAATCGAAATCAACACATAGTTCAAGCGGATCATCTTCATCAACAAAAGTATAAGTTTTTTAACTTCTCATCTTAACAGAAACACTCACTAAATCAATGCAGATAAGACTAGACATGATTAATGCTAGCAAACCGAATAGATCAATGTTGATTTCTTCTAGATCTATTCAACTCTTAAGCTCCAATCAATTTCTGATCTTCCTAAGGTTTTCCAGAGGGTTTTTTTTTCGCAATCCTTCTCCATAATCGGCTAGAAGTCCCTCAATTAGACCTAATGTTCAAATATTTATACTTTCCATAATTCTGACTCCCATGCCGTGGTGAATAGGCTCCACGACGTGGCAACCTGGTTCCACATGTATTCTCCAAGGTAATCATATGATCGTGAATCTTCTCCTCCCCACGGCGTGGCAGGAATTCCCATGTTGTGGGCTTCAAAAATCTTTTCTTTTTCACCTTCAATTGCCATAGCCCACTATTTCCTGCTTCCAACTCCGCATTTGCTTCCTTTTCATCCTGTGCATGCATTTGCTACTACGAAACAAATTTAAAACATAATGAGTACCTTTATCCCAAAATAAGCATAATTGTAGCTAAAAGTATTAAGACAATGTACAAAATATGAATATGCACATATCAGTTAAAAATCTAATTTATGTTCGCATGTTTACTCACGATAACTTTGTCTCTGTCACTTTTGATCCTTTTCGTTTCCATATAATTAAAGGATCTTAATTCAGGTACCCTTCTTCAGTGATGTGATATTGTTGGTCATCTCTACCTGTTCCTCCCATCTACTATTTCCTTGCCAACTGTTTAAGCTTTTACAACTGTCTCTCTCCCTACCTGCATAGACGTCTTGGTCACCCCAAATCATCCATTTAAAATTTTTTAAACTCTCGCAATTTTATTTCAAATACTTTTAGTAAAATGACACTTTGTTATGCTTGTCGATTTCCTTTTACTTTATCTACCTTAAAAACCTCTCGGGTGTTTGAACTCATCCATATGGTTTATGGAAATCTCATATTACTAACATGAATGGTTTTAAATACTATATCCTATTTCTTGATGATTTCTCTCATTTTTTTGTAGGTTTTCGTTTACGTGCTAAATCGGAAGTGTATTCTCTTTTTTGCAACTTTCACATGTATGTCAAGAATCAATTTAAAAACGACATTCAATCATTTCAATGTGGCAACGGACGTGAATTTAATAATTAACTTCTTCTTTCCTACCTTCAATCTAATGGCCTAATGATTTGTTTCTCACGCCCTTACATGTTACAATAAAACAACAAGTCTGAACGCTTCATTCAAACAATCAATAACCTTGTTTACACTTTCCTTTTTCAAGCGTCTCTCCCCACAAAGTTTTGGACCGAAGCCCTCCTGACCGCCGTGCACATGCTCAATCTACTCCCAACCACGACATTATCCTATAAAACCCCGTTTGGCCATTTGAATTATTATTTGATTTTTTCCCACTTATGACCATCCTCGTGTGTTTGGTTGTCTATGCTATCCTAACATTGCTTCCACTACACTCCCCCCTCAATCTACTACTTGTGTATATCTTAGTCCCTCTCCTGATCACAAAGGACATAAATGCCTTGACCTCCTTTATCAGGGTGTTATCATTTCTCGACGTATTATATTTGATGAGCAACACTTTCCGTATTCTGATTTCCACCCTACTCGTGCGACTTCCGACTATGACTTTATTGTGTACCTCAATGATGATCCTCCCATCATCATCCTTCCACCTACCTCAACTAACACCTCTTTTGCCTTGCTCATGCCTGTTAGTTCATCGTCACCCACAAGTGAACAACCTTCATCTAATGATCATGATTCCCATTCTCCTCATACTTTGACCAGTCATCCTATGACTACACACTCACAAACTGGTTCTCTTAGACCTCACGTTCTCATGAATATTTCTGCCACCAACGATGTCTCTCCCATTCTGCGATCCACCGTTCAGGATATGTGTGATCCAAACTAGAAACTTTCCATGGATGTTAAGATGTCTGCTCTCACCTCTACTCATACATGGGATCTTGTCCCTTGCTCCCTCTCCGCCAACATTGTTGGTTTTCGTTGGCTTTATCGACATAAGTCTGACTCTAGTGGCAAACTTGATCATTACAAAGGTCATCTCGTTACGTAAGGGTTTTATCAACAAACATGTTTATACTTTGATGACACTTTTAGTCAAGCTGTTAAAAACCGCCACGATCCACACGATTCTCAGTATTGTTGTCTCTCGTCAATGGCCTATCGACCAACTTGACGTTTAAGAACGCCTTTCTGCATGGTGATCTCACCAAAGAGGTTTATATGAAGCAACGTCTTGGATTCATTTATCCTAATTATCTTGATTACATTTTTCGTTTACGCAACGCTCTATATGGTCTCAAACAGGCTCCTCGTGCTTGGTACCAACAATTTGCTATCTATATCTCGTCCTTGGATTCACCAACAGTCGTTCTGATATCTCTCTTTTTACCTTTCATTGTGGTAGGGAGACCATCTATCTCCTTTTGTACGTTGATGACAACAGTCTCACTGCATCTACTTCTAAATTAGTTAAAAAATTATTTCCCTTTTGTTCGCGAAATTTGCTATGACGGACTTAGTTCATTTATCTTTTTTTCTCAACATTGTTGCCACTTGTACCACTCAAGGTTTGTTTCTCTCACAAACTGATTTCGCCAAAGAGTTCTTTTCCCATGCCAACATGACCTCTTATAATCCCTGTATCACCCAGACAGATACAAAGTTGAAGCTTTTCGGTTATGGGAACTCGGTTTCTGACACGACCTTGTATCGAACTCTAGGATGGGCTCAACAACATTTACTCGTCCAGATATAGCCTATGCTATTCAACAAGACTGTATGTTCATGAATGACCCCCATGAACCTCACTTCCTTGCTCTCAAACATATTCTTCAGTATCTTAAGGTCACTCTTGATCATGGTCTCTATATTCGTCTGTTGCATGTCTATCATTTAGTTTCTTACTCTTATGCTGACAGGGTCGGGTGTCCTAACACCCGTTGATCTACCTCTGGTTTCTGTATCTCTCTAGGTGACAATCTCATCTCTTGATCCTCAAAACGTCAACATGTTGTCTCTCGTTCAAGTGGTGAAGTCGAGTATAGGGGTAACTAATGTAGTTGTTGAAGCTGCATGGCTTCGTAACTTGCTTCTTGAACTCTCATGTCCCTTAACTCGTACCACTGTTGTGTTTTATGACAATGTGAGTGATATGTACCTAGCATCTAATAATGTTCAGCACCAAAGAACCAACCATGTGGAAATAAATTTATATTTTGTTAGGGAACACGTTGCTATTGGTCATGTTTGTGTTTTGCATGTTCCATCCGTTCATCTGTTTGCAAACATATGTAAGGACTACCTACACAGTTGTTTATTGATTTTAGATACAATTTAAGCATTTGACAACCCCCTGCTTAAACTGATGGGGAGTGTTAGACTATTATTTATTGTGTATATTATAGTTCTTTTATATTTATATAATATAGGGTCTCTTATGTAATGTATAATTGATTGTATATTTAAAGGCTTGGAATACATAAAAACCATTGTTGTAAATATCGGCCTAGGCGGCCGTCTAAGCGCTAGACGGTCTGCAACTGATTACGATTAGGGTGCTTGGCGGAAATTGATCAATATCGGTCAAACTCAGGCTAGGCGGTCCTTGCGGTCCTCGACGGCCCTTGGCGGTCCTTGACGGGAAGAATTTAAAAAATTCAAAATTTTAAATTTTCAAATATTACACCAAAATTTTCAAAACTTCCAAATTTTAAATTTTTAAATATTTTAAATTTTCAAAATTTAAAAATTTTAAATTTTCAAATACTATTTTTCTTAGGATATATTAAGTTTTAAAATAGTTTTATTAGTAATTTATGATTCCCGATTACCTTCGATAAATCCCTACCAAACAGATTAATCGCTTAACCCCAATCGACCGCCGAACAATTTTTACAACCTTGATAATATTATTTTACTAGTTCGTTTATTTTACTTCAAACATCCTTTAAAAAGGCTAGACATTTGATGCCATACAAACACCGTCCTTTATACATAACATGACAAAATGGCATCTTAGTGTTGGTGTGTGTAACAGAGAGAGAGAGAAAGATTATTTTTTTTACCAAGTTACACAAATTGAAAAACCATATGCGGTAATGGGAATATGATGAATACCATATTTTAAACTTTTCATTAAAAAAAAAAAAAACCTTTCAAACATATTTTAAACTTTTCATTGAAAATATCCATATTATTAGATACGAATGGTTATTTTTATAAAGTGCAAAATTGTTACTTATTTTGTATAAAGTATAATTAAAAAAAATAAAAAAAAATCATGCTTCAAACGTAACTAAAGTTTTTACAATCGCGATGTTAATCACACGATCCTCTAAAAAATCATCATTTCTTCAAATCTGCTTTTCCTTGATTTAGTCCAAGCATGCCATTTCCACTCATCATCCGAGCTTAACACTTTAATGGCGTGATTACGTTATTCTTCTTAAGACTTAACCTCCACAAGCCCCCGCATTCATCTTCGCTTGCACAAAAAACCGTTTCTTGAGCACTATATGCAGAATGCAGGTGATTTTCGAATTTTTTTTTCGTTCACATGTCACTTAACACCTAATCATCCACATTCTGTTTGCTGAATTGATGAATTTGTTTCAGACAAGAACAGTGCAAGTGGGACAACTTTCAGATCTAGCTAGCGAGAGAGAAATTCACGAGTTTTTCTCCTTTTCTGGCGAAATCGAGCACATTCAGATCTGCCGGTTGTTACTCTCTTATCAAGTGCGATATTACTTTTACGTGTTTTTGTTTTTATTAAAGGAACTTAGGATTATGTTCTTTTTTCTAGGGGTTGTAGCGATTCTGAAAGAAAGAAAACTGCATTTGTGACGTTTACAGATCCAAAAGCTCTCGAAATAGCGTTATCGCTATCGGTAATCCACTTCCTAATTCCTTTTAGAGTACTTATCCCCAAATTATTTACTCTGTTCACTATTTTGTCGATAATCTAACATCTAAGGACGATAAACCATAAATTACAAATGGCATCTTGTTGTTTTCAAACCTATTAAGTCAAATTAAGCATGTAATTGGTTCATATAAGGTTCCTTCTCATGGAAAATTCAAGCTGTTTATACTCTGTACCATTTTACAGGGAGCAACCCTTGTGGATCAAGTCGTTAGCATTACTCCAGTTGAAAATTATGTACCAAAACCTGAGGTATTTGTATGTCTGTTACAAACCATATATATCTCCTTTCTCCTTTGGTAAACTTATTATGTGATTCACTTCTTGCAGGAAATTTGTGCAGCTGACAATGCAGTTAGCATGGCTAGACAAAATTCCTTTTCAAATGTTGAAGTAAGTCAAAAGAAACACTTATATATATATAGCTTATCAAATTAAGTCATGTCCTCATTAAGTCAATTAAGTAAAAAGAAAAACAATATCTTTCAACTCTCTTTTCCTATTTTATCAGACGAATGGGACTTCTCCTCGTAGTGGAAGAGTATATGCAAGTAAAGCACAAGATGTTGTATCAAGTGTGTTGGCTAAAGGTTCAGCTATTGGACAAGATGCCATGAATAAAGCTAAAGCATTTGACCAAAAGCATCAATTAAGAGCCAATGCATCTGCCCGAGTGATTTCATTAGATAAAAAAGTTGGACTTACAGAAAAATTTAGTGTTGGGATTTCAGTTGTGAATCAAAAAGTTAAGTCAGTGGATCAGAAGCTTCAAGTGTCTGATAAAACAATGGCTGCATTAATGGCAGCTGAGAGGAAATTAAATGACACAGGATCAGCTGTCAAATCAAGCAGGTTTCATATTATTCCTTTTTTACTGTTAAGGAAATACCAATGTACTTTGTATTTGTAATAAAAAAAAATTAATTAATTAAATTATATTGCTATTTCTTGCAGATATGTTACTGCTGGATCCGCTTGGCTAAATGGTGCATTTGGTAAAGTGGCAAAGGCTTTGCGGGTGTAAAACTAAAAAGGTAAATATTTTTATTTTTTTTAATCAATAATCATTTATCTGCAAATTTACATGTAAATGAGTCAATTTGGGTTATACTTTTATCTGATAATGGGTTGAGTTAAAAAAAAATGAACCTTCTAAATTACTTTATCAAAATTTAAATTATTACTGTAATGATATAGTTTCTGTAATAATTAATTATCAGGATTCTGGCATTAGTGCAAGAAATTGTGATATACCTCAATGTTGTTCTGTTGTTTTATGGTAAGTTTTGTGATTCGTTTATTTGTTTATTTTCATTTCTCAGTGTATTAATTTATTCTCCTGTAAACCATTTTATGTTCTCAAAGTGTGTAAAAACATTTGAAGGATTTTAGGAGCGTATGTATTATATAGATACTCCATTTTTTTTTTTGTCTCCTACGAATTTGAATAATCCTCACACTTCACTAATGCGTTGCTTTCTTTTTTGTATCTAAAATTAAAATCGTCTCTTGTGGAATTTCCCATATTGAAATTCATGTTAACGTGACATATGGTCGAATTATTTATTAAGCACAATGGACAAAAGATAACGTGGAACAATTTGATTGTCAAACACACAGTATTTCCCCCAAGTTCTAACAATGGTTTATTGGTGATGTGCATCCAATTACTAATAAAGACTCTAAGTTGATCATGAAATGTTGGTTTGAAAAAAAAAAAAAAGATTAAATGGTCTATCTGATTTATAAAATGTCACAACTTTAATTCAACTTTGCATTGTAGTAGGGTTTTTATTTATTTATTAAACTTGTTTATGTTTTAGAGATCCAAAGACCAAACAAATTAATCCTGAATCTTGACTACATCATTATATAATCAACACAAGCAATTGCTAATGTACTGAATTCAAAATCATATTAATAAGCATGGAGTCATCGCCAACATCCAACCAGAAGAGCCAATTTTCCTGCTACAATCGACAATGAATTACATGAGAACAGTGACACCTAGTCCTGTAGGACACGTGACAAACTGACAATCATAGTGGAAAACCAGCTTCAAAACATAAACAACAGTATTTTTTTTCAACCTTATGATGATTCAAATCAAGAAACTGTTCTAGAAAATTGCAACAGATATACTAAGAGATGTTGTGGTCATCAACAATCGAAGTGTTATGCAACAATATTCTTTTTGCAAGTTAGGTTTATATAATTTAATTAATTGGAAAATTAATTTGAAGTAGACAGACATCTATATCTATCCCTTTTTGTTTCATGGGTTTCTCGTTTCTCGATTCGAATCAGTTAGTTGTGAACAAGAGAATCTTTAAACATATGAACGAGGATGGGTAAAATAGTAATTATTGATGTAACCACTTCTGGAAGTTACCAGAAAAAACAGCTTTTAACTATAAAAATCAAAAGCTGATGATACCCAGACTGGTCCAGACTCCAGACCTCACTTATTTGGTTGGGACTCATGTGATGTGATGAAAAAATAAAAATTCCCTACTCTTACAGATGAAGGAAATTTCAGAAAGAAAGAAACAAATTAAAGACTACAACTTGTACATACTGCATCATGAGTTGTACACACAAAAAAAAAAAAAAAAAAGGAGTCCCATGCACACACACACATACACATTAACACATACTTTGTTTCCCAAAAAATTAGGGTAATGTCAGATAGATGCTAACCACTCTCGATTGTCTGTCTTCCGATAAAGCATTTGGTTTGGAAGAAGACAAGCCCCTTGCTTCCAAAATCAACCAGCTTTCCATTTCTTTATGGGCTGTCAATTCATGTGCATGTGTTTCCCTTCTTCTTCTCCTTCTTCTTCTTCTTCTTCACTTTATATATATATCATACATCATGACTCCATGATATTCATAACATCAAGGATTTTAGTGCTTTTTAGCCTCCTTGTGACGTTTTCTTGATTCTTGAATCACAAGAAAGAAAGAAATGGAGTTGTTTGGAATGAAGTTTGTTCCAAGATCCTTTTTTGGGTGTTAAGAGGGATCTCGGACCAGGCTTCATTCTTGACAACTGTCTTTTCGATATGTGCTTAAACTTCAATGAATGATCCGAAAACGGTTAGTTTTGTGATCTTTTTGTATAACGTTTGTGGTATTTTTTATTTTGTTATTGTTTAATTTGTTCGGTTTTATTGGTTTCTTGTGTGTTTTGCAAGGTCTTTTTTTGTCATGGAACTTGAACTCTCTTCATATCTTTTGTGTTTCAAGTTCCAAATTATGCGTTTGATTCTTGGAATCTCTTGTAGGCGGAAATTAAAGACGAAATTTCAAGTATTGATTACTTATAATAAAAATCATTGATTTACAACAACATTATAAACACAACAATTAGAAATTTGATTTCAGATAGCTCGTATATATTTTTGGAACACAGAATCAAGATCCACCTTTAAGAACTTCCAGTCACAGTGATGATCTTTGAATTGTTAAAGACAAATATCTTTGTATGTTCATACTAGCTTCTGTTGATCATGTTAATTGTATCATGTAATAACATTTTTGATCTACCGACTTCAATGTAAGTAATTATAAATTGAAGTATAATTATTTGATACATAATGTTATGTTATGATAATGTCTCGAACTCGATCCAAGTTAACGCGAGATTGATTAATCATTTTAAGTTTATATGGATTGCTGGTTACTCAAATATAGAAGAGGATGGGGATCGATGTATGAAATGATAAACAATGCACGTAAAAGATGTAACTATGTAAAAATAAAATATATATTATTAGAATTCAATCATAAATGTATAGCATCGAGAATCAAGAAGGGTTTCTTCCCTTTCTTTCCCTTTCATTTCCTACCCCCTCGATTTTAAACTCAAGGACATTATACTTTTTTTTAGAACAGTTGAATTTTATAAAATAGCACCAGCAAAAATTAATAATGCATGCCATATAATTGTACCTTTAGGATTTGACGAAAATTGCATGTACCTTTCAATATGACATTATACTTTTTTTTAGAACAGTTGAATTTTATAAAATAGTACTAGCAAAAATTAATAATGCCCTATAATTGTATCTAACTCATATACAATATAAAGTTATAAAACTAAAATACAAATCTTGTGCATTTTTTGTCCGTTTCTTTCATATCCACAAAAAACCATTTAAATACGCTAATAAACATTTAGATAATTTACTATTATAACAACAGGCAAAGTATTAGTAAATAAATAATTAAATTTGCAAAAGAAAAAAAAAACAATTTCAGGTTATAGCAAATAGTCAAAAAACTGAAGAGTAAAAAACCATTTAAAAACTGAAATAAACAAAACATTTAAATAATGTAACTATGTTACAATTATAGAAGGCAAAGTATAAAATGATTTGCAAAAAACCATGGACATCGAAATAGCAAATAAGAAGAAAAATATTTGCAAAAACCATTTAGATATTCTAATTAAAAAAAAAGGTTTAGGTCATTTTTGATCACTTAACTTTTGGTTTTGTACTCATTTGATCACTTAACTATTTTTAAGTTTTAAAGGTCATCAAACTTGAATTAACAATTAAAAGTTTAGTGACCAAATGAACACAAAAACAAAACATCTAAATAATGTAACTTGAATTAGCAATTACAAAGAGGAAAAGAGGAAAAGTATTAGCATAACTAATTTACCTAAAAAAATGACATTGGCAGCAATAGCAAATAGCAAAAAAAAAAAAAAAAAAAAAAAAAAAAAAAAAAAAAAAAAGGGTTTGCATGAGACCAATTGAAAGCAAAGGCAAAAGAGCAAACAGAAAATAGAAATTACGACTTAGGAGAGGAATAGCTAAGCATAATACAACAATTTTCATTTCAGCACCTTATAGTTTGTCGTCTGTGATTTCAGAATAATCATACTAATTGGGCTTCTTTTAGTTTAGAAATGACAAAGTGAATGGCATTAATTGGATTTTGTAATCGAGAAAATTTATTGAAAGAAAAATCTCTTAATAGAATCAAATATATTTGCCTTTCGATACTTCTTGCCATAAAACACAACATCATTTCAAAAACATCATAGCACCCACCAAATAGTGATTATGATAGATTACAAAGCTAACATTTTATAAACTTGACAAAGGCAAACACATCCATCCACAGTATCATTTCTAAAACCGAAGCAAAAGTAGCAGGGTGCATGTCAATCCATCTAATGATCGCAATTCATCTTCAAGCTGCAACTTCATATCTTAAGAAAAGGTGATCCAAATCTTCAATATAATCAGAGCAAACGGGACAAAGAATAGGAGGAAAATATATCCCTTTGCTAATCAATTTCTATCTAGCAGGTAGGGATGTCAAAGAGTCCCGTGGGACCCCGTCCCGTTTGGGGAAAATTTTTAAAAAATATCGGGGGTGGGGACAAGGGCGGAGGCTAGGTTAACCCCCGTTTTAATTTCGGGGGCGGGGGCGGGGTAGACAATCCCATCCCAAACCCCCATGGGAACCCCGTTTTAATTTCGGGGGCGGGGGCGGGGACGGGAAAATGGGGAAATTTCGGGGGCGGGAGCAGGGGATGCATTCTCCGTCCCGTTTGCCCCCGTTGACATCCCTACTAGTAGGGAGCCTACTCAGCAAGAGTCTCCAAGCATGAATATTTACCTTTCTAGGAACATAAAAATTCGATCTAGTGTCTCCAAGCGTGAATAGTTACCTTTCTAGGAACATAAAAATTCCATCTAGTGCAACACCTCCTTCCATGAGAATAAACTCATCAATAGTCGTCTTTGTGGCATGTAACATGGAAGTGTCAAAGTTGTCCAAATGCCAAATCAAGATATCCCTATAAATACTATGATAAAAAGCATCAATCAAAAAAAGCGAACCCTCGGACTAGTTTCTTCTATACCACCTCTAACTTCCAATCTCCAACTCCAAGATCATATTTGATCACCCAATGACCTTTAACAAAATACTTCTTACTATTTTCTATCAAAAATAATATACGTAACTGAATTTTAAATGGAACTCCACCCACCCACACATCCTCCCAAAACCTTGTAAGCTCTCATTTCCAACATGTTTTCTAAGAGTATAACACGGAATTATACCTTTATCATTAAATTGATTCAAAGAACCTACAATTCTAGTCTCTAGACCAAACGGTTGTTTCCCGAACTCTAGTTTCCCAAAGCCGAAATCCCAAAGCATCGCCATGATAAGCATTAACGACATTAACCCAAAGAGCAATTTTCTTCTTCATAAAACACCAAATCCATTTCTGAATAACTGCATGATCAAAACCTTCTAGACTATCAATACCAATACCACCTCTTTCTTTAGCAACAAGAACTACAGGTGGCAAATCAGACAATGGTTTCGTGTTTTTACCTAACACGACATGACATTAATTGTTTTTTTCTTAACCCGAACATAAAACTACACGATATCGTGTTTTTCTTGTAAAAAAATAATTTAAACATGACAAACATGA